CACCGTGTGATTAGTGGGAAGTCAAAATGATTCAAGTTACTTGCTAGTAAAAATTAGAAACAGGAAAAACGCTTTAACTCATTTTGACTTATTAATTAGAGATAGGGTGACTGGTTTATGTCTCGGTTATTAATATGATGGTATGGTTCAAGTACATAATTTAATAAAAAATGCGAAATCCATGTCGTTTAATACACTGTCACTTTGGAAACAACACGAAAATAGAATTGTTTCAAACGCCAAAAAAGTGCTCCGATTTTAATGAAACCGGCATCAATCGACGGAGAAAAATTCGCTGATTCCGAAGATATAACTCAATATCGCCCAAAATGTCGCTTAAACCAAATAGCCCGTTACCCCTCGATATGAATAATTATATAAGTACGCGTGTCGCCTGAACAATATAATGGAGAATGTTCTGCTCAATTGGCAACACAATGTATCACACGAAAACCTAAAAATGACTTGGAAATTACAAAGTGATTCATTGTATCTGACATGAGATGAAATTATCAGCAGATTAGATATGATCATGTTGCGACATGCTTAACAAGTTAACATGTTTAAATAGACTAAAATGTTTGTTAGAAAATAACATACAAATTGATGTTTCCGTGACGTGGGATCATTTGAATTGGAATAGTGAAATGGAATGATTGACATCATGTTTATTTTTTGGGGTTTGTTATGATTGTCCTGTTTGTTGAGGGGTTGTAAGTATAATCATTGAGATAACAGGTCTCGGGTTAGATTTTGACGTCGGGTAAAGTTGGTAGGTAAAGAACGTTATTAGAATCTTGGATTTTTAAAATTATCTAATTCAAGCATTGATTTTAAAAATTGTACTTTTTAGGAGGCTTACTCGCAAATTACAAAGCTGTGGGAATATAATCGACATAAAATGAGAAGGTATACTTAAGTAGGTGCTCTATGTTAGTAGATCTAGGTACACTTTTAGCTACTCCTTGCGAGAATAATGGGCGTAATGAATGACAACGACCATCCCTTTTTTTAAGGGGAAAATCATCGAATGACTGCTCCCGCCTGGGTGACGCGGGAGGGAGTGTCAGACTCTTACTGACTAAAAACCACCCCGTTCTTACTCCTGCACGTCGAGCCGGAGCCCCGGTAACCCATTAGGTTCTACGCGACAACGACCATACCTTGAATTTAAACTCTAAATTGTAAGAGGTAAAACAAGAAAAAAGAAATTCAATGTGGTCGGTATTTACACCTCTGCCTAACACAACACATAACATAACATCACGCTTTATCCATGAAACGGTAGGCAGAGGTGCACATTATGGCACTTAATGCCACTATACAATGTATCACCCACTTTTCACTATTTATATTATGAGTTCCATGTAATCTACTAAGATACTTTTTAAACCCAGTAATACTTTTACTCTGCCTACCCTTAACGAAATAACAGAAGTTATCTAACTACTTAACATTTCCGAAAAACAACATTGACAAAATACTAAAACAACCCCTAAACAAATAAATATAATCACAACGCCATATAAATGTGCAAACATCAACATTCAGCACAAACCTCCTTAGTCACCCCACCTCTATAACGAGCTACGATTGTCTATGGCAATCCTCTTAATGGCGGCAATTTAAGTTGAAATGAAATTTTCGTCTATATTTCTCATTTTCCTTACATCCCTCGTTCGCTCCCTCGCTCGCTTTTATTAATTATGGCCCGAGAGGACTAATTTCTGAGACATTATATAATTTTATGTAGATTGCGATTTGCGCGCGGAAATGTATTTTGAAATGAGTCCGCCATGTTGGTTTTGCTTTTGACAGTTATGTTGAGGGGTATTAAAAATTATGTATGTTTCTTTGATTAGAAATAAGTTATTTTCGGTCTTTGACTTCTCTAGAGTTACATGCACGTGGCCATCGGTGGTGATGATCGCCTACCATCAGATGAAGGACTGCCCAATTGAGCCCTATTAAAAAAAATGTAATTTGAAATTGTAATGTAAGTGAACAGCGTTTGGAAGAGTTTTGAATCCAGCGGCTAATCCAGAAATTCAATTTGTCATATTTAAATTATTACTATATTACTCATACCTTTAATATTTAAGTATCAATCGATACAAAAATAAGAACAAAATACAATAACATAATTATTTAATAAAACAAAACTGAATGTAAGACATGACACGATTCAGTAGCAAAGCAATCTACTCGCAGTCATACACCGCAATTTTAAATAAAGAACATCATCTTACTCTTTCTTTAACTCAAATAAAAGTGTGTGTCTGTCCCTCTCTCGCACACTGCTATTGGATTGAGAAGTTCCCGCCTTACGTCAAAAACAATGGCCGGAGGAAAGAAAAAAAATCGTGTTGCCTCTCTCACACACTGCGTTCGGATATTATGAAAGATTTTTTTGTTTTTTTTTTTCGTGTGTAGTGCTTTTGAGTTAGCAGTGCATTTTATAACGATTTGTGTTTTTAACCGTTTTAGTTAAATACTTTAAGTGCCGATTTTTCCAACGCCAGATAGCTACATCGGAGAATTCATTTTAATGTTATGGCAGTTATTCCGTATAATTTTCCCGAAAAAAAACATGGAAAATTTAGCCTTTTAAATCAGTGTAATTAAATTTACTTAAAAAATACTTAAATAGAATTTTTACCTAATTAATGCCTTGTTTGAAGTACTTCAAAATATTATAACCAGTGACCGGAGAATTAACCCCAAGACTCATAGTTCGGCAGTCATGTTTAAAACCAATTGGGGCCGATTTTTCAATCATCAGTGAATTCCTAATTGTAGAAAAAAAATGACAATTTACAATTTTTAGTATGGAGTTGTCAAATATTCAAAGCTTTTCTTCAGTTAAAAATTATCTGGCTTTACTCAGCACTCTTAACATCAACATAAAATCCTTTAATCAAGCAAAAACCCACCTAACCTCCTTTATAATAAAACCGATATCAAAATCAAATCACATTTTAAACATGCCATTAGGCCCTACATTCGATTTATAACCATTTTATCAGGAAATCGTGACTTTTCAGCGATTTCCGAAATAAAGACGCTTTGATATGTTCTATCAAAATAATTAATCACCACTTAAGTTGGTAAACAGTTTAAAAAACATTAATATTGATGTTTAAGTTTAATATCTGTGTCAAAAGGTTGTCAATATTTGTTTAAGCGTTTCTGGTTATCTTTATTAGTGGCGCCTAGAGTTAGGATCTAATAGAGACGCTATATCACACTACCTAATATTATAAAGTGAGTAGCAGTCCCGTAAGTCGCCGCGTCCCGGGCCGAAAATGTTATAAATGTGAAAGTTTCTTTGTTTGGATATTTATCCGTCAATCACGCTGAAGCTACTGAATGGGTATTGTTGAAATTTGGTATATAGGCAGGGTATTGGGTGACTTAAGTGATAGAATAGGCTATTTATCCCGATTAAATGCTCCCGTGGGATAAAACAGGAATCAAATACTACGCGGACGAAATCACGGGAAACAGCTATAAAATACCAATATATGTAAAACACCTATAAAAAATGAAAACGGTGTATTTTCGCCACTGACCTTTATTTAGCTTGTATTTAGATAATCGACCTATTACCAAACAATCTATCCAATTCCAAAGCTAATTTCCCATTCTTTAAAGCGTTAATATATTAGTTATCTTCATAAATCAGTTTACACACAAAAATTCCATCCGGGACATAATTGAAAATAGCATAATAATGATACTTACTAGACTTGTCTAGTCTAGACACGAATATAAAAAAACGAAAAAACAATATCTAATTCGTCAAAAAATGAAGACTTAATATCCACCGCACCCTCATCAACCGAAATACATGCTGCCCATCCACTGCTGACCAATTCCTGTGCCATAATACTCAGTTTTGGCATTAGACTCGGGGATCGCAGTTATATCACCGATGGAGGATATTGTTCCCCAGCAGACAATTTTAGTTTTAGGTTGGCAAGGGCCAAGTAGGCTTGGTTTCACAGCTCATATTTTATTAAGTTTTTCTAACAAACTGCAATGATGTGTGTAGGTATGTGTGATTCATTCCTCCAATGTATTACGAAAACTGACTTATCAGTTTTTAGCCTGACTCATTTTATCTTCAATTTTGTTTAGTCACAAATTGCGACAATGTGTTAAAAAAAAATCAAAATACTAGTTAAACATCCCCCCCTTACCTACCTATTTTCTCCGTCTTTTACTAACCGCAGTTGTGAAGAAATAAAATTAGGCAATCAAAAACCTCATTACTTACAAAGATCTACATAGAACAACTCAAGCAAATTCTACAAAAATCTTCACGAACAGTAAATTAGAAAACACTTTCATTAGTTCAAGTGCAAACGCGTGAGAACAAAAATAAATTCAACGATTTATTTAACAATACTTTAAACTAGACGCCATATTTGATTTGAGACTACAAAAATTACTCGTAACACAGCTACCCAAACGGATCGAAGGTGATTCATCAAATAAATTAAATGAAATCTCGGCATCTGACAAGTCGATAACCTAAAAGTCAATTTGGCCGTCCATTTCTTAATTCAACACTAAAAACGAACAACTAAAGCGCGGACTACGCTCTAAAATAAATAAAAAAGCGAAAAAAAAAAGAAAAAACTACATCGTTAAGAGAAAATAAGCGAACTAAAGAACATTATTTGGTTGTACAAACATAAAATCTGCTGCGGTTTTGTTAAACGGCTAGAATAAGACGATTCATGCGTGAATCCCTTCGTGCTAGAGCGAGAGGAACGATATAAAAGTGAGAGAGAAAACAAAGGGGGTGGGGCGTAAAGATAACCAGTGTATATTGAGCTTGAGTCTACCAAAAATATGTGAATGTTGGATAGAAATGTAGGTGTCTGAACGTTTTGGTTGGCCCGCCCAGTCGTTTTGTCCACACACGGCACAATATGACGATAATCGGTGCTACTCGTCGCTTTAATAAAATAATTCAGTTGTTTGTTACTACTGCTCTCGGGTGGATATCCGAACGCGATTGACCGCTTTACGTTTTATTGTGCCGAGCGCGGCCGCTTAACTGTTCGCGTGTGTCTATTAAACGTTGATTTAAAAAAAAGTGCAGTGAACTTACTTTTCCTATTATAGTCTGTGGTATTTTTGTTTGAAAGTTTTCTTTTCTTTTGTTGTTCATAGGTGAGTGTTTTTTTTTAAATATATTGATCATAGAGTAAAAAAATTACAAGAAAATCATTTATAAAATTATATATTAATAGTTATGTTTTTGTAACAGTTTGTCATATAATTTTATTAAATTTTAAAAGGAATAAAACAAGTAAAAATTAGAAAAATTTTAGGTACTTATAATAAGTTATACTTACTTTAATATTTAGGTAAGTACCTATATCATTTTACTATGAACATTAGATCGGTTCTTAAGTACAATATCATCATCGTCATCCTCATCAGCCAGGCGCCAGGATACGTATACTGTTGAAGAAAAACTTTTCTTTAGATGAGATTCCATAATCCCCAAGCCTGGCAATCTTCTTGGGGATCGCAGAAGCCACCAAAGACGGTCTAGCGGCCCTCACTGCGAGTAGCTTTTGCGGTTTTAGGTCATCATGAAAGCTACACACTGTTCACTGCCTCCCACAGTCCTCCCCAATAACTACACATCGCCCCGAGCGTATGGCGCGTCGCTTTCCTCGCGTGCCTCAAAGAGCCATCAGACCATCACGGATGGGTCCCAGTAGGGCTGCTGACGATACGGAGCCGCGCATTACTTAACGGGTTATCGGGGCTCCGGCTCGAAGTCCAAGAGTAGGAAAGGGGTGGTTTTTAGTCAATAAGAGTCTACGCTCCCTCCCCCCTCACCCAGCCGGGAGAAGTCATTCGATGATTTTCCCCACTTAAAAAAAATATTACACGTCGCGAGGTCGGAGGCGATCTGCATACAGCGATTGTCGCAGACCTTTATTGGTTGGAATCCCATTCTTCTTTACCTAATATATAACTAGCTGACGCGGCAAACTTAGTACCGTCTAAAATTCTTTTTCTCGCCTTTCAATCCTTCCCTGGACTTCCACGAACATTTCAAGACCAAACATAGCCAAATCGGTTCAGGCGTTTTAGAGTTTTAGCGAGACTAAGGAACGGAAATCCATTTGTATTCATATAGAGAAGAGATAACTAAAACTTTCTTCACTTTTCACTTGTCTAATCATACTTGCATTGGAGTTGCGTAAATCCTAACGGGTTACCGGGGCTCCGGCTCGAAGTGCAGGAGAAGGAACGGGGCGGTTTTTAGTCAGTAAGAGTCCGACACTCCCTCCCGCCTCACCCAGGCGAGAGAAGACATTCGATGATATTCCCCCCTTAAAAAATATATACTTTAATATAAAATACACACATAAATATAAACATCTGCCACGCACAGCAAAACTGTGGAATGATCTGTCGTCAGCGTTATTTCCGAACTGATACTACCTTCAAACCTTGAAGAAAAGAGCGTTTTCCTTTTTTAAAGGCCAGCAAAGTACCTGTTACTCCTCCGGTGTTGCGGGTGGGTATGGGCGGCGCTGATCGCTTACTATCAGGTGATCCGTCTGCTCGTTTGCCTCGTATTCCTTAAATAAATAAACACTTGCAAGTTTTTAATCTCCCTTCGGACCCTCTCCATACAGACAGCAGAAACCAGTTGTTTTTTTATACTACGTGTGTAGTGACTAGCTTCTGTCAGCGACTGTGCCCGTGTGATCAAAAGTAGCCTGTGTTATTCCAGACTATAAGAATATAGAGGGGTAGAAACCCCTGCTCCAAATTTCATCGCGATCCCTTCAGCCGTTTTGACGTAATTGAACTTTTGCACGCATAATATTAAATATTTTTTTTATGTGAAGATAATGTTATAACTTAAAGCATTAAGGTTATATTTTGTTCTATATGTTGCCGTGCCCTAACCGGGTTTCATGTTGAAGCTGTACCCCATGTAACACCTATTGTACACATGATATAATGCAATAAAAGAATTTGAATTTGAATTAATAAAATAATAATAAAAATAGTTTATATATAAACACAAAAACTTCCAAAATATGTAACAGTTGTCCAATGTTTACATTATACAGTGAAACTTGGTTAAGTGGGACCTGGATAAGTGGGAAACCTCCATAACTGGAACTCATGCTGAGGTCCCAACACTTTGGCAATGAATTACCTCTGTTAGTGGGACGAGGTAAACCTCTATATGTGGGATTTGTTCCTTCGATTTATCATCATAGCTACCTCTATAATTGAGACAGCGAGTAAATTTTATATGCATAAACCTCTGTAACTGAGATAACATTGTTTGTTTACTCATTTTTATTCTACCCACAAATTCCACACGTACCTAATTCCAAGTCCACCTCTATTAACGGAACCTTCTGTAAATGAGACAGATTTTATTTATACCTGTATATCTGAGACACTGGGTAAGTGGAATACCTCTATAACTGAAACGACATTGCAGGTCCCTTGATGTCTCACTTAACCAGGTTTCAATGTATATTAGTAGGACAATATACCGGGCACAATTCATGTCTGTGCTATTACTGAAATTATTCGCGATTCCATAAAAAGTAAGAAATCTTAATATTGAAAAAATAAATTAATAAAAGTCGTTTATCTCAGGCAATTAGGTACCCATACATAGTCAAATTTTACACAATCATATTAAAAACATCAAAATTATTCTAAAATTTCATAATTTATTTAATATTAATGAATGTTACTATAAATTTTAGTATTAAATTACTTTAAGTACCTATAATAATACTTTACGCAATTCGCAATCACAATTTTTTAGGATATCTATCTTGGCAGTCGCGCTTACGACCATTAAAAAAAAACGTTCATAGATAGGGGTAGAGATATTCTTAAACACTTTTTCAAAGTACGTCATCACTTAAAAACTCCTTTCCCTTCCATCCTTTTTTTTTAAAAGTAACGTCCAATTCGACAATATTTCCCTATGGTTGTCAACGCAAACATTTGTTTATATGTGGCGTGTTGGGGTTCCAAACCAGAGCCAGATAACAAACAGTATGGCGGACCCACTGCGGTAAAACTTCGCTAAACCAGAGCAAAGACCAATAAATAATTAATTCGTAAAGGTTTTGATGTCCAAAATTCAACCTTAATGCTTTGAGTTTAATGTTAAATTACTAAGTATGTAGAGCAACGAAATTAATTGAAGTATAAAGTAATAGTCACCTGTGCCTCGTTGGCCGAGTTGTCGCAAGTGCGACTGCAAAGGGTCTCGGGTTCGATTCCCGGGTCGGGCAAAGTATTTAAGGGTTTAATAAAAATTCTCAGTAGTAGCACGGAGTCTGGAATTGTGCCCGGTATATGATAATAGGCTCACCCCCTATTACATGGGACTTATAACATGAATAGCGAAATGTAGGTGTTACATTGTACAGTGGCATTAAGTGCCGTAATATGCATTTTAGGACGCCCGCTTCTCATGAATGAGAGTGCTAGTTAGAAACCTACCAACGGCAAGTACCAATGTGACGTTTTTCCGAGTTATAAGTACTTTCTAAGATTATTTAAACACCACTGACAAACAGGAAATGAAAACATCGTGAGGAAACCTGAGCTTATAATTTCTAATTACAAGTTTAAAATCGCCAACCCGTATTGAGCAAGCATAGTGATTAATACTCAAACCCCCGTGTGAGAAGAGGCCTTTGGTAGCCAGTGGGCATATATAGACTGTTGATATATGTGTGATGTGTTTCCAACCACTCGACCTGTAAGGTAGCGTATAGATAATAATATATTAATGGTGATAATGATCAAACACACGCGAAGAGCTTTTAATTTCGCTTAATTAACCACTTACCGCTTATCACTTCATTAGGGCCTATTTTTAGAAATCCCTTGGTTAAATGGAAAATAAAACAAGTGATACATATATATTTCGTACATATATAGTCGATGTTTAGCCTCTATCTCGCCTGGTGGTAAGCGATGATGTGGCCTATGATGGAGCACGTCTACCTATGAGCAACCTGTTCTATCTACTCGGGACTTGAAGACACCTAAGTCATATTTGACGAGAAACACAGGCTCCCTCAAGGAGATAAGTGTGGGAGAGGCATGCTTCGGCACGAATGGGTCGGCTCGACCGGAGTGATACCACGGCCGAGCAGAAAACCGACATCAAACAACGCTTGCGTTGTGTTTCGTCGTGTGAGTGAGGTTATCGGACGCCCAATAACCTCCCTCCCTAGTCTCCCTAGTCTCCCGAATCCCCGTAACCTCCACAATCCTCAAACTCCCAATTCCTTAAAGGCCGGTAACGCACTTGTAACGCCTTGGTGTTTTGGGAGTCAATGGGCGGCGCCGATTGCTTACCATCAGGTGATCCGTCTGCTCGTTTACCGGCTTATACTATAAAAAAAAACAGTCCTAAATCGCTAGTTGTTCCGTTACTTTGCTCCTAATTATAGTTTATAATAAAAAAGGTAATCATAAGGCTATGAGATATAAATTATCCAATATGGTTGCATTTTATTGGTTCGACACGTGACCAAACCAAATAGAAATTTGAATTGATTGATAACGCATTATTAATTCTGATAATGCGTTTAATATTAGTACTAGGTAGGGCACAAATTATATCCGTAATATATTAAGGTATATCTTACTAATATTCGTAACATAATATAACGTCACGCTTTTTATCCCCGAAAGAATAGGCAGAGGTGCACATTACTGCATTTAATGCCACTGTACATTGTAACACTCACTTTTCACTATTTATGTTATGAGTCCCAGGAGGTAAGCCTATTGCTATATACCGGGCACATTTCCAGACTCCGTGCTACCACTTAGATTTTAAAAAACAGTTATACTTTACCCATACGACCCGGGATTCAATCCCGAGACCTCCTTGCCCGGCACTCGGCCACCAAGGCAGTCATAATATCTTACTAATATTATAACTATGCAAAAATATGTATGTTTGTTTTCTACTCAATTGTGTTAAGACTGCTGGAGGAATCGAGATGAAATTTGGAACAGGGATAGATGAATAAAATAGAACTCTTCTCTGCACCACCCAAAGGTCAGACTGGGAGAAAATGCCTGCGGCATTAAGTCCGCCTTATGTACATTTTTTGCATGAAGCTTAAATAAACAAATAAATAAATAGATTATGGCCTAGGATTATAAAGGCTTTTTGTCCCATGGATCACCTGATAGTGAGCAATTGGCGTCGCCCATGGACACACTAAACACCAGAGGCGTTACAATTGCGTTACCGGCCTTTTGGGGATCAGGAGTTTGAGGATCGTTGGGGATTCAGGGATTGGGGAGATTGGGGATTCGGAGATTGAGGAGATTGGGCAGGGGGGGTAATTTCCTCCACTGCCCACAGTCATACGACTGCCCACGCCTGCCGTTTTGGGATTAGGATTTGGTTCTTTCCTCAAAAGGCCACTACAGAAAGAACTTGCACGGTTCTCACACATAATCTTTTATACACATTTGTCTGGACTTTAAAAGAGACAGACCTCTGAGTTTGTTTCGACATTTCTTCTCAGAGTAGTCAGTTAGGAAATGTCGACCTCATCGTTCGCTTGATAAAATTGACGTGTAAAAGTGCTGCCTTGTAGCCTATTTGCAGAAATAAATTCACTTGTGTCACTTGTCACTTGTTTCACAGGAGTATGAGGATCGTTGGGTAATTCAGGGATTGGAGAGATGAAGAAGGGGAGGGGGATAATTGGACACATACTCTAAACAAATATCAGAAACAATTAATATCTTAAATTTTTCTTAAATCGAATCACTTGTAGCAGGAATATGTATGTCTTTTGTTAGATTAATCGTTTTCGTAGCAGCGTTACGACGTAGCCACTATGCTACGCGGCGTAGCAAGTGCTTGTCAAAGTTAAGGAATTATCTTCGACGCATCCGTAGTTTATTTTTCTTATTTATTTGTATCAAGTTTAAATATCGTGTACGTAGTGGTATAGTATATATATGTCAGAGGATTATTTAGTATTAGACTGCCTCGGTAGGGTGGCTGTAACCAAGCATAGGGTTTCAGAGCGAATCTCTGTTCGGGCAAAAGATTTCCTGAGTTTTTCAGTTTGTAACATAACATAACATCACACCTTTTATCTCTGAAGGGGTAAGCAGAGGTGCACACAGAAGTAACACCCCAGGCGCGGTACGGCGAAAACTTCTTCAAGGCCAGCGTCTAGCCTTGATTTTCCTGTGTAAGGCTTATAGGACGGTTAGCACTGAAGCCCTACCTGTGCTCGCGGGCGTACTTCCGGTAGATCTTGAGGTGCAGCGACGTGCTGCTATGTACTACAGTGCGAGACCTAATTTGTCAGCAAGCTTTCTGGCAGAACGTGATAGAAATAAAATTGCAAGATTGTTTAAGCCAATAACGGACGTTTGGGATGAGCTTATAACTGAATGGCAGGGTAGATGGGCATCTTCTATTAAGGGCCGCCACCTGTATCAGTTCTTTCCATCCGTGCATGAGCGGCTGG